AAATATCCAGCAAGAATTTGAAACATATACACATAACTCATGAACATTTTTCAGAAATAACAGAAAACCCCCAATTTCACACACAAATCAGAAACTGAATCATCGTTAAAATTTCACTTTGGAAACTGACAACTCTCACATGGTTTCCACAACTCTCACGCGTCAAAAAGTTCCAAAAATATGGTTACTGGACATCACGATTGATCAAGCCCACACTAAAATTGGGTGAATGAACATCATTTTTTGGGTTAAATGCATGTAGACATTTGGTAGATTGAAGAACATACCGTACACTGGTGGATCATCTCCGGGGTCTCTAAAAACTGGGCGACGCATGTTGAGTGGAAGACTAAGTGCTTCGAGAATATACCTGCAAAATGGTGATAAAACACTAGAAAACTAAATGAAAACATTCTATCAAGCCAAAAATTGAAAGAACTGTCAAAAATTTGGAAGCCCATTTCTTACCGTCGCTGGCGTCTCACTGGGGGATTCAACAAATCCTGGACAGTGAATGACGAGGCGGTGAACGGAGAGGAGAAGGTGGTGAACGGAAGAGGAGGGGAAGGCGTGATATGGAGAGACCCACCGTCCGTCCGTCTCCCTTCCAAGACCTCTGTTTTTGCGAAATAGAAGTGAAGGGATGGAAGTGATCAAGTGAATGGGTGTTTGGACGGTTTTACCCTTCTGTTTGAAAAATAAAAATCATTTTTTTATGGATTTAACGGTGCATTCTAACGGAAATTGGACGGAAGGACGTTTTGTGCAAGAAAATGGAAAGGTGGGGACGTTCATCACCAAAAAATCATACGTAGGGACATTTTCCACACGCCCCGTCATAGATAGGGACGTTTGCGTCAATTACCCAATTATATAATTAGCCGGCAAATACTGTTTTCTCATCTTTGTTTTCATATGTCCCATGTGCAGATTTTTGGCTTACCTTGACGATCACTAGTTGTCCAACACTTCTACTTCAACTTTGGTCGGGTAAACATGATCGATCACAGTTTTGTTTTTGTGTTATTCTTCTTGGTGGTCTTCAAAATAAAACCTGACTATTTAAATTGTTTCATTAATTAACAAAAATTTAAGTTGTGTAGTCTCGAAATATTGTGCACTTGAGTATGCTTTTTGGACTAGCATAGAGATTTCTTTTTCGATAACTAGTCGACAAGGTGTACTAGAAGTTCAATAACAAAACAAGATGATTACTTAACTGAGTTTGACATTCTTTTTATTATTTTACTTTTCTGAAAAAGCAATTCCAAAACGATCGAGAATTGACTGATGAATGTAGTAAAGCCAAATACTGAAAAGTGGCCGAAGATTCTAAAATTCTAAATACAAGATAACATCATTTTCTTCTTCTTCTTCTTCCACTCAAATCCCAATCTTCTTCCATGGGTTACACTTTCAAGAAGATGTGGAAGGGAAAAATATCTCGTCCCCACTCCGAACTAACTCTATCTAGTCAATTAGCTTTGTTCGGAATTTGGGGCCCAAAATAACAAATAAATAAGTAATTGACGACGATACATGAGAATATTTTAATATTCATTTTGCCTCTCCGAAACTCCATTGCCATCCATAAGGGCAATAAAACGATTTGAATTGGCCAAGTAAATTTGTACTTATTTATTTATTATTAGTAAATCATTAAGCTAGTCGAACATGAGCTATATAGTCTAAATATTACTTAGCTCCTATTTGGTTTTACTAAAAATTAGATTTTTACTAGGTTTTAATAAAAGTTGATGAAATGAACATTATTCATTCCACCCAACTTTTTTTTGTTCCGTTCTAGGGTTTTGTACATATCCTATAAAAATAGAAGGACCTTGTTATAGGTACAGGAACTACAGGATACGTGTACACAACACTTGGAGGGAAACATTTTTTTTTTTTTCAATATTTTACATGCGGGGTCCACATCATGTGAGGAGGGATTCAAAAATCTGTGAAAATTCTGGTAAAAATTCCCTGTACCTGCAGCTTAATTCAAAATAGAATAAACTCATAACTCTTCGTTGATATGATAGATAGAGTTCTCAAAAACAAAATCCCGTGAAAGAGTAAAAAGTGTTTTTGTTGTTGTGGAATAAGAAGCCTTGGTATCTTAATGCTGAATTTCTATTTACTTACCGAATCACATAGAATTTTACTTAAACCCCATATTTGTAATGGAATATATAAACTACGTGTGTGAATGGAATAATAAAGATAATTTTCTACGAATTTGCAATGATTAATTATTTAATATGACAATGACATAGAAGAACACCGAAACATTGACTAATATAATCCTTTGAACACGTTAGTGTGAATAAATGAGAGACCGGTGCCTGCCTTCAAGCATTAATAGTCTCCTTAATCATAGGCGCATTTGCTTCCTAAAACATTTAACAAATTATCCTATTTATGTTTTTTTTTTCTGAAAATTGGTAAATGTGTTGTAAAATTTTTAAAAAATAATTCTTCGACTCGATGTTGGTGAGATACATTTTAGTCTAATCTCGAAGCTTAAAAATCATTTTTAATGTAAACGGATGGCTATGAGTTATGAAAATAGACGAGTGTTGCGTATAAAAAATGACGAAAGTGAATTAAATTTTTCTATTTATTTTTTTCATCGGAAATGATACCGAAAATGCAGTATAAATCTCAATAAGTATTTGTTTAAAATATATGTATGGTATCTTTTTGAATTTTGGCGACCAATGTTCACTCATGTTCTCTTGTTCATGGTGAGAAGTCCTATTTTACCTATTTTGGAGAGAACCTTAAGTGATATTCTCCTGTCACATCAACAAGTGAACAATTTTATCTTATCCGCCGTGAATATGAGAACAATTTCTTACCCGTGTTAGGTATGGTTTCACTTTTTAATAGCACGAATTATATTGGGAAAGAAAAATAATTTAAAATACTATTTATTATATCAATTAATCTTACCTAATAATGAAGCTGAATATACATTTTGGGGTTAATTAAATGTGTAATAAATAATAAATAACATTTACTTTTGATTACTATTTACTCACTAAAAAATAAAAAGTTACTTATTGTTCACTTAGTTTCATACAATGTTACCATCCATCATTCATCTCGAATTCGTTTGTCCACATCGACAAAAAATCCATGTGGCGGACGGAATACATACGGGACAATAAACAGTGTTAAATCTCAAGTATGAATGAGTAGGTATTATCCAAACGTAAACGTTGGTTATCACTCATTTAATTAACTCTCAAGTTTTAACTCTATTTATTGCCACGTAAGATTTGCATCCGTCACTTGAACTTTTTGTCCAAGTAGACGAATAGAACTGAGATGAATAATGAATGGGTAACGTTGTGTAAAAATGAGTGAACAACCAGTAATATTTTACTTTTAAGTGAATAAAAGTAACTAAAGATTAAGATTAATGATTATTCATTTAATTAATTCATACATTTTACACTCGATATGACCAATACGAACATCGTGACAATTTTAGTGCGGCCTACAGTATCAGAAAGCAACGAAGCAAAATATTGAGTCAACTCCATGCCATTGGCTGAACCCTAGTCCAATTTTATCTTATCATCTGCCCACAAAAGGTTAAGGTTTGTGTGTCCCAGCAGGTACCATTCATAAACATTAGCCATTGGTAATTTCAAAAGGGACCCACATTCCTAATGACTACATACTATTGATCAATAGACCCCTAAATCTTATCAAGTTAGAATATGTGGCAATGGAGCCAAGAAGGGTGTTTGTTTGGCGACCAATTGTTCCAACTATATTGAGAGAGACTCAATTGTGTAAAGAGAGTGATCAAATAGCTATAAGCCCACAAAACGCTGTGATGCAAGACTCGGTTAAGCTCGTTAAATATACTAGCACTTTCGATAATTTACCGTAAACGAGATCAAGATTAGAAGTGTTCAGACCTTTCACGCTTTGCGTAAAAAGGAGCTAAATTTTTTTTTTTTTTGGCAGTTAAATGAAGTGCCTTTAGTGGTCCTTCAGCACTATGAGGAAGCATTATAGTAAGAGAGGACCATTAGGTCCATTTCCTTGGTGCATGCACCACAATGTTTGATTAGTTATTAAATTACACTAAGTTGATTACTGACATATGCAGATACAAATTTTCAAAGTACCATAAAAGTTAGTCTAATTTGATAGGCATTCATAGTATCTTAGCTTCTAGATGTTCTTAGATTCAGAGTTTTTCACTTCTGTGGGCATGTTTTGATCATGGCAATTAGAAATCACAATCTTTTAATCATCAGTGTGTTATTAATGTTTCCTTTAAGCATATCATAAGTAAATTATTGTATGCCTTACATCAAATTTTGTCATCACTATGGACCGTATGAAATTCATGGCTTGGATCAGCTTTTTATCCCACTCAAAATGTTGGGTCACTTTTTCTTGTGATCTTCTTCATGTTTGTTGAAATGCCTCTTCCACATTTCGTATATTCTTGGTTATCCTACACAAACCCCAAGAGATAAAACAGATGAGTAAGGACCAGTTCCATGCAATAAGTGCTAGCCTTCTAGTGGTGATTCCTTACATTTTAAGTCAAACAATGATGAGATTCACTACTTTTTTATAGTTGAAAGTCAACTACACTGTAAGCTGAACTTTTTTAAATAAGGGGGTCGGGTGGGGATGGGGGCCTTGGGACTTCCATACTATTTATGTAGTGTGCAAGAGGGGTGTTGAAGCTACCAAAAGGAGGAGCAATGAAAGCGAGTAGGCATGCTTCCTCCCTTTACCTCCTCTCACTTGTTATATTACTATTACTTAGACCCACATTTGCCACCAAAAAGGTAAGCATTTTTAGTCTTGACTGCCTATGGTACACTTCCATTATTAGTGGTTAATAATAGAGTAAAAGCTTAAATATTTCCATGTAATTTTTCTTTGTTTAGTCTTATGTGGTGTACTTGGGAGCTCATTCACACGGAACTGAAGTCACATCCACTGATTTTGTTAGAGTAACAGAGTCTCATTATCAGTTTCTTGGATCATTCTTGGGAAGGTAAATGAAGTTTCTACACATGAAGTTTTAGTTTACTTAACAGTTTGGATTCTACTAATTTTCTCTATCTTTTTCAACTACAGTTCTGATAAGGCCAAAGATGCAATCTTCTACTCTTACACAAGACACATCAATGGTTTTGCTGCAACAATTGAAGAGAAAGAAGCAATTGAAATATCTAGTAAGTTGTTAATATTGCTATCATAATTGAGATCAGGATTTGGTAACTAACAACCTGAAGTGCAGAGCATCCTGAGGTTGCATCGGTATTCTTGAACCAGGGACGAAAATTGCACACGACCCGGTCATGGGATTTCCTCGGGCTAGAGGATAATGGGAAAATCACTGGCAGCACAATATGGAAGAAGGCTAGATTCGGCGAAGATGCCATTATTGGGAACCTTGACACTGGTTAGCTGTCTCTTGTCCCTTCATTTGTAGACACTGATGCACTCTATTTCATATTACTGTTTTTGCAATTGTTTAGTAGTCTTAATCTCCAATTATTTAGAAACTAACTGATAAAATTTTGTCTTGGTTTTAAAACTCTATTATTTTTGCCAATCTTTTCTTGGAACTTTTTGAGGCAAGACAGTTGGCAACCAATAATTTGCATCTGGACAATTGATTTACTGATGTAAGATAAATTATTGTTTATTTGCACCATAATCAGAATAATGACAACATGGAATCTAGTGCTTTGTGTATAATTATAATTATCTATAAACTATACATGACCAACCACTTCCAAATGTAACAATAATTTATTTAATCAAGGCTTTCTTGATTAGAAGTTCTCAATTGACCTTTGCTTTTTCAACTAAGTTCATGTACTCGATAAAATCAAGTGCTCAAGATTTTTTTTTTCTCGCACTGCATAATGGCTATGCACGATGGGTGTAATATGTTTTATCATTTGAGTCATTTCAACTTAATATTGTATCTTACTCAGCCACTTAACGATGGGACATGCCATTTTTTTTTTACCAAAAACCCGACATGTTTATAATTTTCTAAATGAATCATGATGAAAATTAAATTGGGCACTCTATCTGGTCTTGTAACCCATTTACAATTTTATTTTTTTGACTAATTCTTCCATACTATACTACTCTCTGGTTGTGAAGCCACTTGTATGCCAGATATCAGTAGAAGTGTAGAGGATTGAGACTATTTTCAGAGTGGAATTCAAGCAGATTGATTGTAGAACAATGTAACTTTGTTAGAAAAAGAAAGTGTACTGATAAAATAGTTCAGAGTCACGTCTCTGCAATACAGCTGAGTTTGAAGACCATATTATGTAGTCCTTCATGTTATATTACTGCTAATGCATTTGCAAATGAATAAGATACCAGAATCTATACAATTTTTTTCCATTGTATACTATTTTTTATTGTTTGTTTTTGTTTCATTATTGTCCCATCGCTAAAACACTCTTCCTTCTTAACTTCTATGGAATTGAACCAGGTGCATGGCCAGATTCGAAGAGCTTTAGCGATGAAGAATTTGGACCAGTTCCATCAAAGTGGAAGGGAATTTGCCAAAATGATATAGATTCCAGCTTCCATTGCAACAGGTCAAATTTCTCTATCAACTGTGTGTGTCTTATCTAAATGGCTCTTCACAGGATTCTTTTTCCCTGGATCCTACACTTTCAGAGATAACTGGTACTATAGAAGTCATGATATAAGTATACCCCCATTTTGGAAGAATTTGAAAACGGTTTAATTTATAAATGGTTAGAATTCAGTGATGGATAAGTGAATAGTACTTGTGGATCCATTGGAATGTGTAGTTGAGATGAAGTTTGACAATTTATAAATGATTTTTTATATATTTTGCCAAATGGAGGCTAAATCAATAATACTTGACATTATTATTTCGTTCTTAAGTTCTAGTTTAAAAGATGTATAGATAATTCTATGAGACATTAGAATCAATAGGAACCGACCATAACTATATTCTTTTTCGTGTCAACATAGAGCCAAAGATAGTATTGAACTTTTCGTATTCACAATCCATTCTCATCTTCGAATCTATTGAGGGAAGAAGTTTTTGAAAGTTCGAATATTATCCCCTTTTTGAAGAAATGTAATTTGGATCTAGTTCCGCGGTTGAAGTAAAGGAGTGGTGTGAATAAGATTGCCTTAAAACATATTATTCTGGCAGCAACGGCGTGTATAGACAGGATGAAGTGTTGGGATAGAGTTAAACTGACATGCCATTATCCAGGACATTGTGTAATAGGAACCAAGTAGTCGAACTTAATCTGGATAGGATGTTTTTGAATCACTCATATCTTTAAGACTCAGCATGAAAAGTAATAAGTGATTCCATGTGATTGAGAACTCTTTAGTTCCCACATCACGAGTTGATGTAGTGAGAGCAAGAACTATCAGGCAAGGATATATGAAATTTCTTCAAATAACAAATAGTATTACGATTGCAGCTAAATTTGTAGGCCTAAACATTTTCTATATGCTTTTTTATATCTCTATCTAAGTTTTGAAAGATAAATTGTGTTCTTTCATTCGGTTGATTTTCTTGTCAAAACACCGGCCAACATCTTTGCATGACTACACATCAAATTTCAAAAAGAGTATAATGTATATGAGTTTTGTGAACACACTTCATATATTCTAGATTATGCCATCTGCTTTAATTTCTCAAAGAACTCTTTAATATTGTCATCAGATTGATTGCAAATAAAAAAAACTCCTGACAGTGTTGTTTGATCATCCTTTTGCACATATTTATGTTAAAGGAAGCTCATTGGAGCAAGATACTTCAATAAAGGATACGCTGCAACTGTGGGACCTCTCAATTCCACCTTCAACACACCACGAGACAATGAAGGCCATGGATCACATACCTTATCAACAGCAGGTGGCAATTTTGTTGCTGGAGCAAACGTTTTTGGATTTGGAAATGGAACAGCAAAAGGCGGATCACCCAAAGCTCGGGTGGCTGCTTACAAGGTTTGCTGGCCTCCAGTGGGAGGCAACGAGTGCTTTGATGCTGATATTTTGGCTGCCTTTGATATGGCCATTCATGATGGAGTTGACGTGTTATCTGTATCTCTTGGTGGAGATCCTGCCCCATTTTATAATGACAGTGTTGCCATTGGATCCTTTCATGCTGTTATGCATGGCATTGTTGTGGTTTGCTCGGCTGGTAATTCTGGACCAGGTGCTGCTACGGTTTCCAATACTGCACCTTGGCAGATTACGGTTGGAGCAAGCACCATGGACCGCCAGTTTCCTAGTTACGTCATCCTGGGGAACCAAATGAACTTCCAAGTGAGTCTTTCTTCTTCATGACTCCCTTTTCCATCATGTCTTTTGAATCAAGGCTTTAATTTCAGTCGAAAATTAATATTAGCAAGGGCGAAGGGAGGGGGACTGGCCTGGGCTTTAATTTAGACCATGCCTGCCCACAAGCCCATTTATTTTTTAAGGGTAAAATAAATTTCCATAGAAATTTTTTCTGTTTTTTTTGTCCCCCCTAGCTCTGCTATCTGAATTCTAGAGAAGATATCGAACATTTGAAATACGATGCAGATGCCTTAAAAGTATTCAGCATCCTTTTGGTCTTGTTAGAGGCATTGGTTTTCTTAATGTAGAGAAATTAACAGCTAACTATTTCTGCTCTACAGGGGGAAAGCCTTTCTAACAAAGCATTACCAAATAAGAAGTCATTTCCAATTGTTTCTGCTCAATATGCTAAAGCCGCCAATGCATCAGTTGACAAAGCGTAAGGAGTAAAATTTGAACATCTCATTCAACGTGCTTTAACTTCATAAAAAAAATAGTCTATTCCGTGTTTATTATGTAGTGATAGTAAGTCATTGTTCATATTCATGCAATCATGCAGTATTCTCTGTAAAGCTGGAACACTGGACCCCAAGAAGGTGAAGGGGAAAATTTTAGTCTGTTTACGAGGAGATAATGCACGAGTTGACAAGGGCCGACAAGCTGCTTTAGCTGGAGCTGTCGGAATGGTTCTAGCCAACAATGATCTATCTGGGAATGAAGTTCTTGCTGATCCTCATGTACTACCGGCTTCACATATCAATTACACGGATGGACTTGCTCTTTTCTTGTATATCAATTCAACGAGGTTAGAAAACATGACAATTATATAGCATCTTCTTATTGTGCTAATGAAAATCTGCCAGACCAATTGAAATGTGTGGATTTGGAAATGTTTTTATCAGGTCTCCAATGGCTTATATCACTCCTGCAACAACACAATTAGGCACGAAACCAGCTCCTTTCATGGCAGCATTTTCATCCAAGGGGCCCAACACCATTACCCCAGAGATTCTCAAGGTTTTCATTTCGACTCAGTCATTTCTGCTGTTTCTTTTCTTGTCAGAAGATTGATAATAAATTGTATCTTCTGTTCAGCCTGATATCACTGCACCAGGAGTGAGTGTCATAGCAGCCTATACAGAAGCCCAAGGACCTACAAATCAAGATTTTGATTCACGTCGTGTCCTATTCAATTCAGTATCAGGAACTTCAATGTCATGTCCTCATATTTCTGGTGTTGTCGGCCTTTTGAAAACCCTTCATCCAACTTGGAGCCCGTCAGCTATTAAATCCGCTATCATGACCACAGGTGAGAATTTCGTAGCAGTCACAAATCAGTCAGTTATTTCTCCAAATTCCATTTTCTCACTAACTTTGTACTCTTATATTCATCTTATATTGCAGCAACAACGCGCGATAATGCTTTAGAGCCATTGACAAACGCATCTCACTCAAAAGCTACACCATTTTGTTATGGAGGAGGACACGTACAACCAAACCGTGCAATGGATCCCGGGTTGGTTTACGATTTAGGAGTTAACGATTACTTGAACTTTCTATGCTCCCTCGGCTATAATCGAACTCAAATCAAGTTGGTCTCAGATAAACCATATATATGTTCCAAGCCCATTAGTCTCATCAACTTAAACTACCCCTCGATCACGGTCCCGAACCTCAATGGCTCGACAACTGTGTCTCGAACAGTTAAGAATGTTGGTTCGCCAGGTACGTATAAAGCTAGTGTTCGCAACCCAGCCGGAATATCAGTTCGTATCAAGCCGGGTACTTTGAAGTTCAATGAAATTGGTGAAGAGAAAACTTTCAAACTTACTCTCAAGGCTAGGCAATCCAATGCAGCTTTGGACTATGAATTTGGCCAGTTGACATGGTCTGATGGTAAACACTATGTAAGAAGTCCAATTGTGGTAAAAAAAATATAGGAATTACCCGCTTAATGATGTGAACTTGTCACATATTACAGGGTTTTGTCTTCCTTTTCCAATAGTCATTTTTTTCTTTGTTTTTTTGTGATCTTGACAAAAGATGGGACTGCAGAAACAGAGGAAAACTAATAGACATTGTTCATTTAAATTTGACCATTATGTCTCTTTCTTAATCATATTATATTAGTGATAAGAGCATGTTTGGCTTAGCTTATAAGTCAGTTGAACTTGTAATTAAGCAGCTCTTTTTTTTTTTTTTTTAAATCTAAAACTAACGTGTGACTCTATGGAGAATGGCGTTCCTAAGTCAGTGGTTAAAGCGTGTTTCGGACAAATTTATAAACGATTTAAATTATAAAATGTGTACGCACGTAAATAAACAAATATTCTGAATAGCTTCTAAATAAATAAATGAAATTCTAAATACCTAAGAAAGATTTAAATTTAATATTAATATTAAATCTAAAGATGACAACGGGTTCGGTTCGGATGCAACAAGAAATTGCAAACTATCTTCATAATGCAAAATCAACTAATTCACTTGATATTATAATTTTTGTACCTTTCATTGAATATTATTTCAATTCTTGATCTCTCACTTTTCCGTAAAAAAAAGAGAAATTGCAAATTATCATTGCTTCACCACTTTTCCGTAGGAAAAAAGGAAAATTGCAAAATTATCGTTGCTCCACCGTCAATTATCTAACATTCTACCGTATTTTTTAGTGTACAAACAATCTACGAGTGAATACACAAGTAATATAGGTTCGTAAACAATAACATCGACTTGACTTTGCGGTCAACATAAAATATTAAACTCAAATCTTTTCACCAATCACTTAAGTTCATGTTTCACTTTTTTCTTACAGATTTAGCACGCCAAGAATTTTTTAAAAAAATATATAGGTACTAAGGACAAATATTTCAATCAAGCACATGGAATGATGGGACAATGCACTTATTTTTCATCATACAAATTGATATGAGTGAATTCCAGTAAATGTGTGAATAATTCACATCTTTTCTCGAAACCTCAAGTGAACATTCAAAAGAGTCGACGAAAGTGACTAACTGTATGAATTAAGGCCAGACTAATCTTGCCTCTATGTACACGAAAGCTCGATACTCAACTTTGGAATATTCGAAGCAAAGATCCGGATTCATTTCGTTGGACAGTATGAATAGTAATTACGAACGTATGATTAAAATTAATACTTTATTTTAACTAAATGATGACTAAAATGAAAATTGTTGTCACTTGTGAAACTTGATAGCCATTCATTTGTTAATGTACTGACATTGACGTGGCCTTTCCCTTTCTTGTCTTGTCACCAAACACACCGCAATTACTATAAATAATCAAATCAAATCATGAAAAGTTAAAAATAAAAAAACCCACGGTGCAGAATTACACCTTCACAGATATCTTCACGTGTCATCTGTGACCTTATCATCCCTCCTGCCCACAAAATCGTGTCCACTAGCAAACGTCCAAAAAGAAACGCCTAGATTTTTTCTGCCAAATCCAATCTCAAAGTCTATTTATTTGAACAAGTTTTTATTTCAGGTTAATTTCATTCAATTATGCATAATTTGAGAATTTGAAAAGTATTAAGTCATTTTTGGTTTAAGTAAAAACGATGATAAAAATTTAAACTAAAATGAACAATTAATTTTAATCACATATTTTATGAAATTAATAACTTTCCATCACAAATTTCATTCATTTTCATCGAGATACAATAAAAATCTGATTTTTATCAAAACTAAACATGGGCTAAATTGATTTTATTTGGCAACTAATGCAATCCATTGCCAATGGCAACGGATCAATTGACGGCCAAAACTTCATTCAGATAGTCTTATATGAACAAGTGATAGAACTGTTTACTTAATTCACAACAATTTAAATTTTGAACCTCTCAAGTTACAACATTTCGCACACTGAGTGGACTATAAAGAATAATGGAGTGGATTGACAGACTCGCTTGTCATATGAGATGTCATGACTTGAGTAATTAGCATTCCGAAATATCATGATTTAAGTGAGCAGTGATACCACGTGTACATATAAAATCGAAAGTATCGTATATGTCTATGTAAGCATATATACCTCAAATATACTAGACGATAGGCTAGAATTGGTGGACCGACATTGATTCTATATCAATGATTTTATTAGAGATAGACGTAATTATCTATCCTAGCTATTCAAGAGACGAATGTAGGACAAAATTCGACTAGCATTTTATTTGCAATTTATCCTCACATTTGTGCTTTACATGCCTTGCATTTTGAATAAATATCATCAAAGTTGGACTAATCGAGTAATGAAATTTAAACAAGTAATATAATGCTTACAATCAGCACAGTCACATTCTACAATAAATTATTTAATTTAAATTAGGACCAATTTGCTCCTTTATCAAGGTTCGAGGCAAAGTTGTTATAAGAGCTAAAAGTTGGAGTACTAATGCTATAATTCTGATTACTCATAAGTAAATTTAATTATGAGCAACTTTTTAAGGCTTGCCAAACATATCTTCACTATATAAATGCTCTTATAAGCTGTATATGTGGAAATCTCTCTCTCTTGCTCTCTCCCTCTGTATAGAGAACTAGAGAGTATTTTTGATCAACAATGGCAGCCACTGGAGTAGTGAAGCTCTCTCCTAGTTCTACTTCTACTGCTGCTACTAGTTTCAAACATGTGGAGGATGTAAAGTCGTTCACGCGGCTGTCTTTCGCGGCGTCCAATGTCGCTGGGGAGAAGCTGATGTCATTAACCGGAGTACAACTGCAACGGCGTCGTTCCGCAACTGAATTCGACAACCGGAGTCCACTGATCGTTTCTCCAAAGGCGGTTTCTGACTCGCAAAATTCGCAGACTTGTCTCGACCCAGACGCTAGCCGAGTAATCGATCACATTCACATCCTCTTCTTTTGTCAGTTCATACAATGTTTATTGATATGTGTTCATAAAGATGTATTTATGTGTTAAGCTTGTGTTCATTTATAGGTACTAGTGTTTGAAAGTGCGTAATTTTGCTAAGCAATTGAAGTCAATGTTTGAGTTTTGGGGACCTGGAGAGAACAGCTTTGTGTAGGTCTTAAAATCTTTGTTTCAATTCGAAGTTACTTCGAAGAGTGGCTCCAGATCCATATTTTGTTCCCTCTAGATAAAGTATCCTTTCAGGTTAAAAAAAGAATAAAGTGTAAACTGGCAGTATATATGCCCAAATAAATGGAGACTTCCGTAGATTCTAGTTTATATGTTTATAATTAGTGGCTGAATAGAGTTGTGTTTTGCAACTTCATTTTTTATTTGGTTGAGCCAAGCGAGTCGGGCTAATATCCTTTTGCATTTTGGTGAGGTATTATCAGGTTGCCCTATAGAAAAAGGCTTTTTTTATTGCCAAGTGATGTTACAGACAACGCCTCTTAAGAAGTAATAAAAGAAAAAGTGGATGTTCCCGTGAGCATAAGGGATAATATATCTGCTTTCTGATTCGTACTTGTATCTGAATTATGTGTTTGTAGTCAATGCTAGAGAAAATATTAAGACAAATAAGGAATTTATATTCAGATGATAATTAACATTTCCAAGATGAGTTATTTTTCTACTTGTAGTTGCATCAATGTATATTTAAAAGTGAATTATGTGCTTGCAGACAACTCTAGAAATTGACGCATTTATCTACATGCAGATATCTTCTTGGAGTAGAAATTAATAGAAATATTGGAGAGAGAGGCAGGATTAGATTTCAAAATTCATTATTTGTTCTTCAATAGTATCGAGACAAATAAGTGAATATTTAACAAATAATCAACTTTTTTGAAAACGATTCCTATATTTCTATGTATAGGTGGTGCGCCATTGATTTGAAGTAACATTAGTTTTTTTTACCGTGGCCTTGGATTATATAGGTTCTCTACTTTTCTGGATTAACTTCATTCAACATTGCAATCAAGTAACACCATTTTTGTTACATATGTGGTCATTCATAGAGTGTCTTGGGAGTTATTCTCGGAGGAGGAGCTGGGACCAGACTTTATCCTCTTACAAAGAAAAGGGCGAAGCCAGCTGTTCCACTTGGAGCAAATTATAGGCTGATTGACATTCCTGTCAGCAATTGCTTGAACAGTAACATATCGAAGATATATGTTCTTACACAATTCAATTCTGCATCCCTCAATCGTCACCTTTCAAGGGCATATGCAAGCAACATGGGTGGTTACAAGAATGAAGGTTTTGTTGAAGTTCTTGCAGCTCAGCAAAGTCCTGAGAATCCCAATTGGTTCCAGGTACTTATCTCAATGAAACCTGTACCATAAATCATGCGATAGTAATATACCTTAATTTTCATTAGAAAGTTTAATGTACAGCATATATAGATAATCACTCATGCATCACAACTTATTTCTATGAGCTCTTAAGCTGCATTTGTTTTCCCAAGATGTTATTCTCTTCTTGACATCTTGGATTCTTAGCATCTTTAATTACAATTTAAAATTGTGGGAACTCAAACATACTGACATTCAATTGGATTTGTTTTCAGGGTACAGCTGATGCTGTAAGGCAATATCTATGGCTGTTTGAAGAGCACAATGTGCTTGAGTTCTTGATTCTTGCTGGAGATCATTTGTATCGAATGGATTATGAGAGATTTATTCAAGCCCACAGGGAAACAGATGCTGATATTACTGTTGCTGCACTGCCAATGGATGAAAAACGTGCAACGGCGTTTGGTTTGATGAAAATAGATGAAGAAGGTCGCATCGTTGAATTTGCTGAGAAACCAAAGGGAGAGCAATTAAAAGCTATGAAGGTGGTATTGAGTACATTGTGAGTCTTACATTGTTTGATGAGATCGGGAAGTGATTTTTCTTGTCCTTTTGGTACATTTTATAGGTTGATACGACCATATTGGGTCTTGATGACGAGAGAGCGAAAGATATGCCTTACATTGCAAGTATGGGAATATATGTTGTCAGTAAAGATGTGATGATAAATCTTCTTAGAGATCAATTTCCTGGTGCCAATGATTTTGGAAGTGAAGTTATTCCTGGAGCAACGTCCATTGGATTGAGGGCATGTACCTTATCCTAAATTTCTTCCACTAATCCTTGTTTTTGTTCATGTGAATTGCACAAAATTCTGTTTCTTTTCTTTTGGTTTAGCAACTGTTATATACCTAGTTAAATTGATTTACATTTTCTCAATTGTTTAGCATATACTTATGGTTGGTCATATATAATTGGAAAACTATTCCCGCGAAAGTATTATTTCAGTGGTCTTTTAGTGCCAGAGCTAATTGTTACATCACTAATATAGGTGCAAGCATACTTGTTTGATGGCTACTGGGAAGATATTGGTACAATCGAAGCTTTCTATAATGCCAATTTGGGGATCACAAAAAAGCCTATCCCAGATTTTAGGTAGTCTTATTGTTCTCAATTTATTGAGTTGCCTTCTATTGTTTCAGAACACATTTTCTCTATTTATGAAATTACATTATGACTTCCATTATCTTCTGCAGCTTCTATGATCGATCAGCTCCAATTTACACCCAACCTCGATATCTGCCTCCTTCCAAGATGCTGGATGCTGATGTTACAGACAGCGTCATTGGCGAGGGCTGTGTGATTAAGGTAAGTGATCTTGGTTGTGATGAAGTTTGTGATGTTACTTGGTGCAGTAAATGTTACTATCCCCTTTGTTCACTGTGCAGAACTGTAAAATCCACCATTCTGTGGTTGGACTTAGATCTTGCATATCAGAGGGTGCAATCATAGAGGACTCATTGCTGATGGGTGCAGATTATTATGAGGTAACACTTTTCTCTGAAAACTAGACTTTCTTGGTTTAAAGATGACCAATTGTACTTGAAGTTGTGCACTCTGCATGGTCTGATTAATAATAAAATTAGCCTGCTTTATCCATTTTACATCATTCCTTTTGTAATTCATGAGAATAATGACCTCTCATTTTATCTTCTCTGTGCTTTCTTCAGACGGATGCCGACAGGACATTTCTTGCAGCAAAAGGTGGTATCCCAATTGGTATTGGCAAGAGCACCCACATAAAGAGAGCAATAATTGACAAGAATGCTCGAATAGGAGACAATGTAAAGGTATTGAATGATTTTTGTTTCTAAATCTTCTCGTAGAGTTACATAATGATTTTTGTTCTGTATTATACCATGGAACTAGTTCTTCATGATTATTCATTGATTGAAGTGCCATACCTTTGAAGCAATATTTTTTATTTTTCAGATCCTTAATGGCGACAACGTTCAAGAAGCTGCAAGAGAGACGGAGGGATACTTCATCAAGAGCGGTATTGTTACAGTCATCAAGGATGCTTTCATTCCAAGTGGTAGCGTCATCTAAAAATCCTATACTCTTGCAACACTAGTTTGGGTCTTTCTCCCTACCTCATGGCCTAACAAGTGACAACTGAAGGAATAGAAAAAATTGCATGTATAATATCTAATAAAGGTGTCTATTTAACATGACATTGAGTCTGTTGACATCAATTTCTATTCCTTAAATTTAGCATAAAGTGACTTTTTTAATATTGACCTCGATGTCCAACACAACTAAACTTGAGACAGTAATCTGGGTTAGGTGAAAGAAACATTAAGGGGCCGTTCTCTTTGTGTTTCAGTTTTGTGTTTTGAGTTTTGAATTCATTTTGTGTTTTGTGTTTTGAGTGTTTGTTTTAATGTTTCTGAAAATGCGTTCTTTTTGTCATTTTGAAAAACTGTTTCGAGAAACATGAAAATGGAAAACGCGTTTACTTTGAAATTTTGAGAATATTTTTGTAATAATATTTTATTCAATAAATATGATTATTCAATAAATTTTAATAGTTTAATATTAATATAATATTAAATAACATCTAAAATTGTCAGTTGGTGAATCTTAAAATATTTGTTTCTAGATATAAAAAACACATTAAATTAAATTGGACAAATCCTTATTTTTGTCCTTATACGTAACTTGTGACAATAATTAACTAGCATCAAATAACAACCAATGCTTCCTTGCTTTAGTAATGAGCTAAAATAACAATGGTCTGACCTAAGTTTTGAAAAATCATTATCTCATGTTTTGGGAGCCACGTTAAGCATAAAATACAGTGACGCACATGAAGAGAACTTCGTCATGATTGGGTCAAGCGCACTTCTAACGCTACCAATGTTATTTTATTCATATTTCTATTCTCTTGTCCATCTTAATCTTTTTTAATCAAAAAGAGTAATGTATCATTAATAAAAAGAATGGCATCCTTCAAGAGGATAAGGTATAATATCCATATACTTCATTGACATCCATGTTTGCAATATCTACATGTAATAATGCAGCAATCAGAACCTTTCAAATCCTTAGTTCACAAATTGCAATCAAGGAAATTAGAAGTTCTTCAAATGAATCAAACTAACAAATACCAAACTAATTCAGCGGTTTGTTTGTTTACAGAAACAACAATAGTATTCATCATTCTCATATCACATAGTCAAAACATCTTAAATTCATGCTTATGACATTTTTCATCAGCCCAACAAGAGAGCTTTTATATCTATTACAAAAGAAAACTCATATTTAAGATAGATTTTCCTCATAGTACATGACCAAAATTCTTTTATTTATCTGATAGAAGGGCAAGAAGAGTCAAGGATTCTTGCCCCCATTGCCACCGCTTCTTCCTCTTGAATCATGCTTGGGATTGGGTCCTGCATAGTCATAATCTAATGTGGCATCAACCTTTAGTAGCTTTCTTGGATTCACATGGACCTAAAAAACATGGAGCATAAGGATCATTTAGAAGAGGGGG